AAAAACTTCTTGATAGACAACATTTTTAGTAGTTTTCTTTTCCCCATTATCGTCCCCCCACATATTAATATCTTAAATCCTGTGGATTAGTGACTCGAGACACATCAACGTATAATTGACCAGGACTAATAAACACCAGTCTTTTCATGTAAAGTCCGACATGGAATAACGACTGCTCTTGACTCTTGTTGATTGTCATTGTGTAAGAAAACATAAGAGTAAATTGTCTACGTTGGAACTTGAAGGGTATCCTGAGATCGGATGGAGTTAGGGAAAGTCTTGATACCAATACCTTATGTCCAGCATTTGATCCTGTTAAAATCTTACATTCAAACACGTGAGTGAAAAGCTTCGTTATCACCAAGCATGTTCCATTACACAGTCCAATTGAATGATCAATGTTTCTCAACAACATGACAGGAGTCCCAACCTTTAAGTGCAATTCATGATTTGGAACACGAGAACATTTTATACTATTTAAGAACTCCAGAGTGTGCAAGTCATGCAAGAAATCAACACCACCATCGGATTTGAATATGAGAGAACAATATAACGACACAGATTTTGAATATGAGATTTATAGCGTGAATTACTCATATTCTGTACTCAAGTATCTTGGTAACTTTGGGTGTATTTTGTTAAGCATTCACCAATAATAATGTTTAATTTTTATTGCCATTAATATGATTCAAGTATTTTGTTAAGCATTCACCGGCAAAATTTCAAAAATGATACACTAAGTTGGCGTTGTCAACAAAACAAACATTTTGTTGTCCCTCACGGAAAGGAAATATAGTTGACATTTTGGTCGGAAAGATACATTAATCACTCAACCTGGATAAACAACTGACGTGGCCGGATTAGATAATGGCATGACATAAATTTCCTTTATTTCCTACGTGGCGTGATGTGTCATCCTTCTCTCCAAGTACACAACTACGCATACATAAATAAAAATAAAAATAATCCAAAAATAAATAAATAAACAAATAATAAAAACACATCAGAAAAAATAAAATAATAATAATAATAATAAACAGAAAAAATAAAATAAAATCCAAAAATAAAAAAATAAAAAAAATAATAAAAATATATATCGTTCTATTTTGTCAGCTATATATTAATAAAATATTCAAAAAATTTATATTTTTGTAATATATATTAAAAACTAAAAAAAATATTTCGTTAATATTTCGTTTAATATAAATATATTTCACTAATATATATTAAAAAATACTAAAAAAAGAAAAATGAAGTTCATTAATAATAATAATTATATATAATTTATTATACTATCAAAAGTAATACTTTACATAATATTTTATTTATTTAATATATATAAGTATATTAAATATAAATATAAATTTATATTTAAATAAATTAAAATATATTTTTTTGGATATATATTTTTGAAATAAATTAAAATATATTTTTTTAATATAAATTTATATTTTGTGATTTATATTTAATACTTATATATATTAAGTAAATATAATTTTATGTAAACTACTATATTAGATAATATAATTAATAATAAATTATATATAATTATTATTATTAACAAAATATTTTTTTATATATATTAGCGAATATATTTATATTTAACGAAATATTAACAAAATTTTAACAAAGTATTTTTTTTATTTTTTTTAATAATTTTTAATATATATTAACGAATTATAAGTTTTAGAATATTTTATTAATGTATAGTTTAGGAAATAGAACGAAATATATTTTTTCGTGTTTGGATTTTTTTAATTTTTCTATTTTTTTATTTTTAGTATTATTATAATTATTTTTATTTTTTTGCTGATATGTCTTTATATTTATTTAGTTTTGGATTTTTTTTATTTTATTTTTATTTATCTATGTGTAGTTGTGTATTTGGGGATAATGATGTCACATCACGCCACGCATATAACACGTAAGAAACTAAAGAAAGTTATAATGTCACGTCACTACCTCATTCGGCCATGCCAACTTTTTTATCCAGGTGGGGTGATTAATATATTTTTTACGACCAAATCGTCAACTACATGTTTCTTTTCCGCGAGAAACAACAAAATATCTATTTTGTTGACAACGCTCAACTTGGTGTATCATTTTTGAAATTTTTCCAGCATTCACAATTATCATGTATTCACCATTTGCATATGCATGACTTATATTGTGGGTAGTGAATAATGTTAGATTACCTTCCAAATGTTTAGGACTAATTACACCTCATAGTGTTTTCGGGGCGTCTGAAGATTCGATCATTTCTCTATGATTTCTCTTGCACTGCCCCCTTCCAAGGGGTCTCGAAGAGAAAAAAAGTTTATTGGCCCATAAACTCACCTAGGGAAATCCAATGATTAATCTTTATTAAATATTTTTATGGTATCAAATGATTTGGGTGTGCTTGTCCTAAAAAAACTTATATGTCAATATATATGTTAAGTATTATTTTTTTACGTCTCCCGAATAAATCCTATACCTAAAATTGGATTATTTACTTTTCTTTTGTGATTTCTTAGTTTATGTAAACATATTGAGAATCAATTCAAAATCTACACTATTATTTACTTTTCTCAATGATTATTTACTTTTATTTTGTGATTCATAAATATATTCTATCGCTATCTACAATGCATTTAAAAATCAAATTTAATTATGAGAATCATTAATTATCAAGTCATATAAAATACTCATTCTATATAAATTGATAATTAATTATCATGAATGATTTAATAAACTAAAAAGACAAACATACTAATTATATATTTGTTTTCAAAAATATTGTTGATACCGTTTCCAAAAGAAGCATTTACATTTATTATTAGTAACCTCAATTCCATCAACTCTTTATATATATATATATATAGATATAGATTTCAATTTCCAATACAGAAAATTGCACATCATGATTAATATATACTTTTTTTTATAATATACTTAATTTTTTTTATATAGTATATATAAAATAAGAGAAATAATTTCTTTATATGTAAATAAATTATTCAATTTTAAATCGCCCCTATATATTAATCCAGAACACGCTGAGCCTACATGGCTGCTTCTGGTGTTTCAGAATCATATGTGGCAAAATTACATGCTTCGTTATTAGGCTTGAGTAAATTTTAATTTAATTCTAATCCAAAAATAATTATGTTCGGATTACCATAAATATGTTGATTATTTATAGTCATGTTACATGTATTAATTGCATTTTAATATCATTCCTTATTATAACCATTGAATTATATATATATTATAAGTTAATAACTTTTGTATTTATTATCAGTTTTACATATGTAATATATCAAATTAATCTTCTTTTGATGAGCTTCGATTTAACATCCATATTGTATGTATAAAAAAATAATTTATACTTATCTTTATAACAATAATAAAATTATTTTTAATATTAATTAGAAAAATAAAATTATTTATCAACTAATATATTTATATTTCAAGTAGTTATATGATATAAGTTATAAAAACTAATATAATATAACACATCTAAGTCATAAGTAGCACATATCATTCTAAAATAACTAGTAATATATTTTTTTTTTTGTAAAAAAGTAAACTAAATTTAATATAGTTTTCTCATTAATATTAAAATTTAAAAATAATTTTTTAACAAGCACCCCTGTAATACACGGGTGTTGTACTAGTCATAGTATTATTACATTATAATAACTAATTGCTACATATCCAAAATAGTTTTTTTCACAAAAAAAGAATGTTATTTAGGTCGAGTGGATTAGTCGCGTTAGAATAATACTCGGATAGATCATCACTAGCATAATTCAAAAGCATGATCAAGCTCGATTGTGGTATTGGTGTGAGTTGTGTGTTGACTTGGTTAACCCCAAATTCATATCAATACGTCGTTGTATAGAGTACAGAAAAAACGCAATCATCTTTTNNNTTTTTTTTTTTTTTTTTTTTTGTATGTTTTCACTATTCTTTATGTAGACCAAATGTGATTGCACTATAAATTTTAAATATTGCACAATAAGTTATTTTTATTATGATCTGTACATACAATCTTAATATTGCACTGTAAGCACTAATGGGCTATATGATTAGATGTGTAAAGTAGCCGAGTCGAGTTCAAGCTCCTACTAGAGCTCGAGCCTTACAAAATGAGCCGATAAACGAGTTTATATTCGAGTTTAACAAGCCGAACTCGAGTTTTAGAAAAGCCGGACTCTATGAAATTACACAAAAAAAATTACTTTTCGAACATTATCAAACCAAACCCGAACATACGAACGACTTGTTTAGAAAATGAAATGGCAAATGTGGTATTAGTGTATTACCACTACACAAATGAGTAAGTCAAGCACTATCCCCAAAAGTCCACCACACATATAAGTGCCCAATACAGTTCAGTCTCCATCTTCTTCAAACCAGAAAAGACAAAAGAAAAAAAAAAATCATGAGCAGAGAAAACAAAGCTCATCTCCATTACTGTTTTCTGCTTATTTTCTTCGCTTTTTTTGACCCTTCGTCATCTTCTTCATCTTCCGACACGGTAATCGGATATGGTTACAGCCTCCGATCGGCGACAGTCGACCCATCCGGACGATTGCTGACAGCTCAGCTGCAGCTGATCGGCAACTCCTCTGTTTTCGGACCGGACATTCAGCTCCTATCCCTCACCGCCAGGTAACTGTAGCATTTGAAGACTGGCATTTATTTATTTTTTTTTTCATTTGCTGTTACTAGAGAAGATGAAGCTCAATGCTATTGGATATTATTATCAAATGAAATGAAAATTAATGGAAAAAAATATTTATGTTTTTATTGTGGATTGGATTTATTTATTGATGGCTATGAATGGTTGACTCCAACAGCGTCATTATTTCCGTTAGTTGCCAAAATAATTTTGTTAAACTAAAGAAATGCAAATGGATAATTTAGTGAATTTTCACCAAAATGTTCAAAGTGCAAAATGCTTTTTGAAAAATGAAAAACTAAACGAAATAAGTAATAAAGATTGTCAAGTCTAGGCCTGTAAAGAAGTCGAGCTGAGCTCTAGCTCATTACGAGTCGAGTCGAGCTCAACTCGTTAAATAAACGAGTCTGAAATCGAATTCGAGCATACCCCTTTTATCACTAATAACGCGTCAAGTTCAAGCCTTAATAAACCGTTTTCAAACTTTTAATAAACCGTTTTCAAACTTTAATGAGTCAAAGTATAAAAAATTATATAAAAAACTCTCCTTTTGAACCTTCGAGCTCGACTTGTTTGTCGAACTCAAGCCTTAACGAGTCGAATTTAAGCCGAGTCGAGCCGAGCCAAACTCGTTTGAACTAACAGTCCACCTAATCATTTTAGTTGGGTTGATTGCAGCTTATTATATGTCAAATGGGAACAATTTCACTTTTTTTTTTTTTTTTTAATAAAGATTCTTATTTGTTTGTTGAAAAAATTGACATACATTGAAGGTAGAAGTCAAGGTCAACCTTGCCAATATCGCCGTGACATGTGGTGAATGGCGAAATATTATTTTGTTATTACAAAGTAGAGAAGTAATAATTCACTCTATTTTTCCCAATATAGGTTGCCCTAGTTGTTTTTTTTTTTTTTTTGGACAAAATTCTAAATTATTTTCTAAAAATTAGACAATGCTAATTTATATTTTAAAGACCTACTATTTAATATACGAAAATCACCTCCAAATAAGTAGCAAGTATCAACACCTTTTCCATGCTAGAGGTGGAGACAGAGTTGGCCGAACTTGATCTCCTAATACTTAACTTGGGCTTGAGTTCTTTTGGCTCGATTCGTTAACACGAACTCGAGTGCGGCTCGTTTATTAATATTAATGAATTGAGCTCGAGTTTTAATAGGTCGAACTCAAGTCGTATTATATTAAGCTATATACTATTTTTATTTTTAAGCTAGGTTTGATAATTTTATGAAACTTGAGTTTGACTCGTCTACAAGTTAGAACTGTCGAAATGTACTCAGGTAACAACTCATTTCGTTTAACAGTAAAATCCTCCTTAAAATAAGTATGATTCATAAAATTGATATGATTCAACCAATCACATATTTAGCATATTGTTTTTTTTTTTTTGGCTAAAAATATTTAGCAAATTGTTCAATGTTGTCTTTCATTCAAATTTTGTCATCTACTAATTATAACTAGTACAACTCCCGTGTATTACACGAGTGCTTGCTAAATTTTTTTTCATAACATTTAATATTAATGAGAAAAAAAGTAGTTGAAAATTTAAATACTTTTTATAAAAAAACATATATTATTATATATTTTAATATGACATTTGTTACTTGTGCGACTTAGCATTGTTATATTATAATATTTTTTTAACTTATAACACATAACTACA